ACTGTCAGTTTCTCGACTGGTGCTGCACTGAAGCAAAGTAGCAATTAGAGGTAAATAAGAGAAATTTTACTTATTGCTGCATTGAAACTATCAGCGGTGCTGTGTGAAGCCGAACGCCTACGAAACCGTGCAGCTGTTCGAAATCAAACGACGAAGGTTGCCTCGCCTAAGGTGTCTTCTTCACTGATGGCAAGTGAAGCCCAGCAAGCAAATGACTGCGGTAACAAAGATTGCACTACGGCATATATCTTCCGACTGCCCATTCCGCATGTGCCATAGCAGAAAAACTAATATCCGGAACACCTTGGAGGCCATAAGCTCCTTCAGCAATATTCGTATGATCATTCTGCGGCTTCCGTAGCACCCACATGTACGACACAAGAACATCTAAGTGACGAAAATGATGTTTTCTCTCCACTTCATGACATCCATCCAAAGTCGTATAAATCTTCCTTCTATCCTCCGGATTCGATTCAGGGGGTACACAATATGATAAAATGACTCTGCATACCCTCGTTCGAGACCAGTATCAAAAGTCAGCGATTTACAAGGTGCTGAATAACACCATTCTCACCTATGCCTCTCCAATTTATTTTAAAACCTTACCCGGAGGCGATACGCTTTTGCGGCGACATATTAGGGCAATCGCAAAATCTGGCCGACTGTAATACGGCATCGTCGCTAAGACCACTGCGCAGACTGTTCATGACAATTCTGCATCCTTCGATGAACGGATATCGCAGAACTCTTCCCATTCATTTCACAGAGATGTAACAGCCTCTACACTCGGAATTCCGCTACACGCGGAAACGTCATCATCCTGAATACAAGAACTAATTTGCATAAAAAAAGTCAGTGGTACACAACTATCTAGTTCGTACCATAACGTATCCTTGAACCATATTTAATCAACTCGTTTGAAAAAATATCCTAGCACCTAGTAAAGCAAACAGTGTCTTCCGAGGATGTTTTTCAAGCAGATCGAGGGGCTGGTTAGAAATCAAATTTTATAAATAATTTATATTGTCAGTTACATGGTCATAAACCAATGCCTCGGTACGCCTGAAACCTCTTTGAAAGATACACTATATACTTTGTTACTTAATCTATGTCATACTGTTATAATCTGAGCTGGTGCTGAAAACAGAAAAAGCATTTTCCATCATATAACTAATCAGACAAGTTGAATTCTGGCTCCGAACCCTGATTGCCACTGTTACAAGATAAACGAAATCTGTGCGAAAAACGTATTTCACCAAAGC